TATCAAATGCACAGTGTCCTCTAACACTTTTCATCTTCCATATCACCTCCAGGGCGTAACATTACCAATGATTCGAACTAGCTTCACAGTTGGAAACCAATACCTGCAGTAGCTCTCAGAGAAATCCTGAGAATATACAAATATAACTTAAATATTAATAAGTTAAATTCCTCATTTAACTAACCCCTATGAGTTTAACGCACCGGCTTCAGAAATCTGGGACGCCTTCCTCCTCAGGAGCGTCTCCTGTGAACGTGTACCCTTCCTGTGACAGACGTCTCTTCAAAGGGAAGCAACTGAATGATTCATTTCCATGAAATGTGCTGCAACTGGAACAAACTCTTTCTGTATCTTTCATGTTCCTCTATTCTTTATTTGAGGTCTCTGGTTGTTTTTCATGTTGACAGCATGACATCGCTCCTCTGATTGGTATCATTTACCTGTATGTGGAGCGCTGAAGGAGTTTGTCTTTCTCGTCTGTTTTACACCTGTAACTCCAGTGATTGTGTGTTAGGTTCTGTGCTGGGCGACTTGCACTCCGTACTGTACCCGAATGCTGCCTGTGCACTGACCACGCTGCTGCTGGCGTGCTGCTTTCACTGCCTGTGTCGATACAGCATCACTCACCAGTGGCGTATCGAGGTCTGGTCCGTCTCTGCAGGGCTCCCTCTGAAGCTGAATTCACATGATTGCAGGAAAACAGAGTGGTGTGCATGATGTTGCTATCGCAACAGTGCTGCACTGTTGAACTGCGACCTGACCTGTGCTGACCTTTGACAGAAGGCTACTCTCTGTGCTGCCATTAGACGGTGAGCGTTTCTGAAAAAAACGTAATGGCAAGTCATTTTGAGACCAGAGTGAACATGTCTGTGGGCTGAAACATGGCCTTCAGGTACAAAAATACTGCTGCTGAGTGTTTGTAGTGTTACAACTGTCAACAGCTGTTGCCTCCAGGTGTTGGGAAAAGTCATTCGTCTGGCGGCTTAATCAGAACAGGTGAGGACAGGGTATCAGATCTGCAGGTAGCAGCAGAAATGACTGTTGTCTTCTCTCAGCTTAGCAGCTGTTGTCTCCTCAGGTCCCATACAGCACAGGGGCTTCATTTTACTGCTGCAATGTAAACATGACTCAAGGCAGCATCAGGTTCAACCGGTCAGAGGGTCATCAGGACACACATTTAATAGCACTCAGGTCTGCTTTTGGTTTTACTTGGATTGTTAGATACTTCAAATACTTTGTCTCTTCAACAAAAGAGGCCTAGTTAAGTCTTGAGCACAGAGAGGAAAAACCAGGGAATCTACACTGTTAACGTGTTTCAGTCAGATGGGACCTGAGAGGCATGGAGGACTGTGGCGAGTTCACACAGGCACAGTGGTGATGCATGTCCTTTGAACATGGTGTCTGAATCCTAATGTGAACGCAGCATTTCCAAGTCCCGCAGATGGACTTTCTCTGTATCGTTCACAGACTTTGGCTGATACTTGCTGGTTTGAGCTGTGTGGAAGCACAGACACTGCTTCTCGGTTCTTGCTGAACGCCTTAAAGCCTGAGACTCTGTGGCTGCGCTGTGCATTAATCTTCCCTGTGTATTGTGTCCTCCAACTCACCTTTGAACATGTCTACAACTTGTCTGTGAAATGTGGTTTGGTTTGAAGTCACAGACTGGTCTGTAGCCAAGGTAATGTGTTTGTAATGTTTTTAAAGAAGGACCTGATGTTCATGTTGTTACCTTCAGTAAACAGACCAGAACCACCACACTGCACCGGTGATGTCTCACACCGCAGCTATGGTCACTGGTGTCACAGATACCAGTGAGTGTGACTGGGCCCAGTGTTAGAGCTCTGGTGAAGCCATGACGACGTGCAGAGCCAAACCAACCACGTGCTCTCTCACTACGCAGACTTCCCATCATACACATTATATAAAGTGTGTTGTATTCTCTTCTGTGTACCAAATCTAATTCAGGCTGGCCTTGCCATTGGCCAGTCAGCATAATGCTCTGCCACTGTATATTTTAACACAGATTGAGGGTAAGAATGTGACATTTTTCCTTATTAGGATTGATATTTCTGAGTCCTGGGGAACCTGAGTGGAGGTATGAGATGCCTGAGCGTTTCCAGGGGAACCTGTTTGTGCCCTTCAACTCTGCACAGTCACATTAAAGCCAGCTGTAACACTATATGAATGAATAGTCTTTATTGTCGTATAACGTCATTACTGAGTGGACTCTAACCCCGTGGGTGCAGCTGAATGGCTGGAACCAGGTGATCCAGCTGAAGGAGGCGCAGCAGGATCAACCTGTTTTTCCCTCATGCTCCGGTAGGCAGATGCCTTGCGGACCTTGTCGGTGTTGCTGACAGATGCTCCCTGCTCATTTATTCACACACTTTACTCAGAGCAGTGTGGTCTGATCGTCCCAGGAGAAGCTCAGACAAACTGTTTTATCAGAGGGAGTTTAAAGGCAAGCAGTAACAGATTGGTATGTATATATTTCCTATACTCTATTTTTACACTTATTCCTTGTGTTTTTAATGTTTTCCCCTGGTATTTTAGTCTTTATACATTACTTTGGGTGCTGTGATTTTGGTAATCATTGCTAAAAACTTAGTCCAGTTGATTTCCTAAGTTTTTTTTGTTTCTTTTAAGAGGAAGAACAACAATGGCAAGATGGAATTCCAAGCACCGTAAGTTTTCGTTCCCACAGTCAGCGTGTGTGTGTTTTACTGTGGTCCCATCCTTCTTCGTTGTTGACATAGATGTAACTGTGGTTAGACCTGGTTTCTCACCTTCAGGTCTAACCGGAATTTCCCCTTCAGGCTTCATATCCGTCTGTCTGTTCACTGTCTGCTTTTTTTAATTACCTGGCATTACATACTGTTCATAGAGCATATGAATGAGTGCTGTGACCTGCAGTGATGTGCGGTGAGGTTGACAGCTGGTGAGGCACTGTCAGATTTACAAATACAAATGAACCGTTAACAAATTGTCTGTTAACAGACGTTAACAGCGTTATGTTTTATATCTCATATCAGCATTTTTCATACAAACGTGACCCATATTTAATTTGATGCATTAACATTTAGATATATAGACTTTTATTGTCTATTATTCTACTGTCTTTTGTGCATTTAAAAATAGACTGTTAAAACCCAGCACACAACCACCGACAAGCGTATGCTCCTGAAGAGTGAACGAGAAGCAACGTGTGTGGAGTCTTTGTGCCACAAAAAGAACTGGACCAGTTCCTCTGCATGACCAGTTCCTCTGCATTACCAGTCCTGCAGTTTGTGATGTGCTGTATGTTTTTGATAGCTTTGTCTGTATTTCTGTCGTTCAGAGGTTTTGCTGTGCACACTCGTATTGGTGCCAGTGATTGTTCTGGTCTCAGTCGCCCTGCAGAGATACAGCAGTACGTTAATGGCAGGTAGGAACATTTCATTATGCTGCTCTGAGCTCAGCCTTTTCTTGTTATGGTCACATCACACACATCACAGTGAGCAAACCACATTCTACTTCTACTCTCTGGATTGGGTTTGTGGAAAATTACAGCAAGATACAAGATCACAGGCTGCTTTCTTTAAGTAATTTGAACATCCATCCATTATCTACACTGCTTAGTCCTGAATAGATAACGGGGGGGCTGGAGCCAGTCCCAGTTGACACTGGGCGAGAGGCGGGGTCCACCCTGGGCAGGTCGCCAGTCTGTCACACTCACTCACAGTCGCCAGTCAACCTAAGCTACATGTCTTTGGGAGGAAGCAGGAGCACCCGGAAAGAACATACAAACACAGAAAGGCCCCGGGTCGGCCCGGGCTCAAACCTGAAACCTTCTGGCTATAAGGCACCATGCTGCCCTAACATGAACATGTTACAAATAACTGACATGAATTCATGCTGAAAGATGAAACTACAAACTTTTTTCATGACTAGCGATGCAGATTTTATATGGAGTGTCTCTTTAACAGCTGTCATCCTGTGACTAACATCTCTGTTGCTCCTGTGTTTGCAGGTGAGTGGAATCGTGCTTTATTTGAAGGTCTTGGCAGGAACAAACAGGCCTCCAAGGTGTCGTCTCAACAGTCAGGTTAGTGATGGACTGAACATGATCATCACGAATCGGTGAAGTTGCTCTGATGGGGGGTTAACCTGCGTCTCGTCTCCAGCTACATCGTGCGAGTTGCTGACCTGTGTAGAAAATCAGTTCAGCTTCTTCATGCACACTGGAGCTGCCAATGTTGTGCCTGCAAAGATCTGCGTCCAAAACAAGCTGTAGGTGATTCTTCTGAACCTACTCACTTTTTTCTTCCAGGTTTCTGTAACAAGGGCGAAGTAGACAACAAGCTACAAGCTCGTCCTCTGCTTCAGACAAATAACACTTGTCTCAATGTGCAGTGGCCGTGAGATGAGTCAGGGACCATCTGCAAAGTGCAACACTGGACAGAGAGAGGCCTACTACAAAAATATTCAGTAACTTTACTCTTACCCAGTGTGGTTGTACCAAAATTCACACAGTAGTGGCCGTGTGCTGGCTATGCTGCAGCCCTTAGTTAGGAAGAATATGCTGCTTTATAATTTGGGGGAATTTTTATTAGGGGAAAAACAGGCTATTCAGTGACATCAGTGTCTCTAGTGTCACCAGAATCACTCATCATTCTGGCTTTGGGGGTGGGGGGGTCCTTACCAGTGTTGAGGCCAAAGCTACGCCCTTCTTCTGTAAACATTGGTACATGTCTGCCTTCATCCATCTTATCATATAGAAAGCTTATTCTTTTTTTATTTTTGTTCACAAAAACACAACTGTAAGAACTCACCATAACAAGCACCACAGTGTCTCAGCATGAACGTCTAAAAAAAATTATATATATGTATAAACAAGAACAGTAACAAACTGGTGTTGCTACAGTGTTGTATTGCTGAATAATATTGTGTCACCTTATTGCTCCTTTTCAAAATCAAAACAGGCCTCACCACTGAAGCTGTGCGCTTTACTGGCCACATGTTTTCAGCAGCGCGGTGTCTTCACCGGGTCCCTGGCTTCCTGTACTCTCATCCAGAGCTATTTAACACTTGGCCCCTACAGGGCATATTTCCAAATGTAGATAGACCTACTTGGCCTGC